CGGCCGCTGGTGCGGGGGCTGGCGGGACCATCCTCCACCTGCCCCGTCCGCCCGCGCGGAGGGACCTCCTCTGTGTGCAGGGGTTGGTGTTTCCATCGGACGAGGAAAAGCTGTGCCTGAGTGAAGTAGTAGTTAAATCCTGAAGGGATGTGTCTGCGTGGACAAGGTTTCCTTTTGGTGCTGATGCGAATGCTGGTATTCAGGACAACACTGAAGGACGGGTTTGAATGCACCCGAGTGCTCCATTGCCCAAAAGTCATTGGGAGGCGAGGAACAGCCGCCCCAGCAAGGGCTGGGACAAGGTTTCTTCTTTTCATCATCCTGCCCTTGAGTCCTCCCATGTCCAGGGACACATCTCACAGCCTTCCCGCCCATGGCTGCATCCCCACTCAAGCCCCGTTTGAGAAAAATGAATCGATGAAGCCACCCCACCCCGGGGAAGCCAGGGATGCCGTGGTCGGCTCCCGGCCCCCCGCTGCCGCCTGGACCCCGCCAGCCCCACCTGGCCTTTGTGCTGGAGGCTGTTGCTCTGAACACTTCAGCCTCCAATTTCCAGTCATAAATCAGCTTGCTGCTCTGGAAACTCGTGGAATGGTAGATTTTATTGAGATCCATGCCAACAACCATTTGCTGTGAGAGTGACAACCAAATTTTACGCTGTCCGTGTTGTGGGGTCCTTATTTTACCAGGCAGTATTTGGAAAATAACCTGGGAATGACATCCGTGGCATCTGGGGATGGAAGTTTGCTGAAACTTCTCTGTCTTCATTCCCTTGACACTTTGGGCAAACATCCTCCCTCCTTCCTTCCATCTCCCCCAGCCCTTTGTCCCCCCACCCCAGTCATCTGCGCCCCACTGCGTATGTGTGTGTACGTATATATTGGGGCTCCAAAGCTGCAAGGCACCATGCTCCACATGCAAACGCCAGTGAAACCGCTGTTATTTGCACTTTATTTCATTGCTATCACCCAGCTAAACCTGCCTGGATTAACAACAACATGCTCTGCCCGGCGCTGCAGGACCGAGCTCTTGTCTGGGCGTTGCTGAAGCTGGATGGGAGAAGGTCGGGCAGATAAAGCCCGAGGACGTATTTCTAACACGTGTCCTCTCTTCGTTTCTGCAGCCCGGGGCAGTCTCCAGCCGTGGTCTCAGGGTGTCATCGCTGTGGTTGTGTTTCTAGTCCTGGTGGCCATCGCTTTCGTGGTCAATAGGTTCTGGTGTAAGGAGAAAGTGTAAGTGTGGGAGCCCCGGGGGTTGCTTCGGGCTGGGCTTAGCTGCCTCTGCATGGGTGACTTCCAGCTGCCTCCGTCCCTGTGCCAGGGCTGGGGACACCGTGATCGCTGTGCCAGGAGCCGGGTGGGGAGAGCAAAGACTCCCTGTCCCGGTCTCCCTGTCCTCTTCTCCCTGTGCTGGTCTCTGCTCCCTGTTACTTATTGCCAGGTCCGAGCTTGCACCGTCCGGATGCTGCCGTGAGAAAGCGCTGCGCTGGGGATGGGAGAGCCGCAGCATCGCGGCTGGTTTACACGGGCACGTGTCTCGGGGGGGCTGGCCTGAGCCTGATTTCCTATGGATTCCAGGGTGCAGTTCCCAGGTGCCTTATGATTGTGGGAAAACAAACCCAAACCAGCTTTGTTCGCAAAGCAGACCGAGACAAGTCAGCACCGAGAGGAGCTGGGAGAAGAGCGAGGTAGCCGAGCAAAGCCACAGGCTGCTGGCCCTGCTCAGCTGACCCAGGCTAACTGGCTAAGTTGCAGTAACTCGATCTTGAATCTGAGCCCAAACTCAACAGGGGCTGAAGATCTGAAGTGCCCTATAGCCTGGGTCCTGGTTCCTTTGCACCGGCACGGGCACTTTGGGCCAGGGACAGTGTTTCCCACCTCCACCAGCACCCAGACGCCTCTTCCCCGCCCAAGGCTCCACCGGTGGGGTCGGGCTCTGCTTGTGAGGAGGCTGAGGAGGGCTCGGGGGGGATGGAGGCTTGTTTTAATTAATCTGGCCTCTCTTCAGAGGAGCCGGCAGTGAGGCTCGGCGGGCTGGCGCGCTGCCAGCCCCGCGCTGTCACTGTGACAGCAGCGATCAGCGCAAGCCGCTGCCCTGTTCTATGCCAGCCTGTTCCTCGAAAAAGCCTCTGAAATCGCCCTTGGGCGAGCGCTGGAGGAGGCAGGGATGTGCGCGAAGGGTGGACCTGCCACCCGCCCTCCACAGCTAACCCCCCCCCGGCGCGGGTCGGGCCAGGGGCTCACTCCAAAAGCCGAGCTTTTAGGCTCTGGCTGAGGTCGAACACCTGGACCCTGCCCCACGGGTCCTTTGGTGAGCAATCCAGGCTCGCATCCAAGAGGAAGACGCTTGGCTTAGCACGCGCGGACGTGCACACGTGCAACCCTCCTGTGCCAGGGCTGCGGTGCTGGCAGAGCCTCGGCGTTTCTCGCTGTCAGCTGGGACTGTAGAGGACTATTTTGCAACAGATTACATAGAAGATGACTGGAAAAACCAGTTAGTGGGAGAAAACAATCCCAGGTATTGTCAAATGAGTCTTGCTGACTGCCAGCCCGGCACTTGGGAGTCCCAGCTCCAGTGCCAGGGGTTGGCACTCGGCGTCTGGGCATGGCCCCTGCTGACCTGCTGCCAGGGTATCTCTCCTCACCCATGTCCTGCTGGGAAGGGGACTGAGCTGGGTGTTCGAGGCCAGTATCACATATCCAGGTCCCTTATCGTCTCGGTGGTGTTGGAGCAGTCCCTTCCTCTGCACTGTTGCCATCACGAGCTGCTCCCTGGCATGGCCCCACCATTGCTCTCTCTCAACTCCTCTCTTCTCCCCCTCCAGGGAAAACGTTGAGACGGTGGTGAGCGTCGAGGACAAGCAGGAAGCCGTCACATCCAACGGCCATGAAGGGAGATACCTAACCGCTGCAGCAGACTTCAGGTGAAGGACTTGCTCAGACCTCTGACCCACGGGCTCTCAGGCTCTGCTCTGTCCCCCTGAGGACAGCTCAGATGTGCAGAGCCATGGTGTCTCCCACACGGGGTCTCACATGTCCCATGTGCCTGGTTCTGGGGCTTTTATTCTCTCCAGGGACTAAGGAGAAGTTGGTGAGGGAGCATCGCCTCCTCCCTGGTCTCCCCTCATCCCTGCAGCTGAGCCCCATGGTCCATCCACCGCCCTGCAACCTGCTACACCACATTTTTCTTACACTACATCTCACCTTTCACACTGGGGCAAAGGAGCCACCCAAAGCGGCTATAGGTCACCACACAGATTCTGACTGTCAAAACAGTCCTTGCTAGAAATTAGAGCAATTCCCAGCCCATGCTTGGCTCTCCTCCTGGCAGCGGGAGGCATTCCTTGCCTTGCGCCTCACTCAATGCACGGCCAGCACCAGCAAGGTCAGGGCCCCAACGGTGGCTTCGGGGAGGCTGGTCTTGCTGGGGGCGAGCTCACCGCTGTCTTTCTCCCTCCCGACGCAGATCCAAAGAGAGCCAGCATGCCTACGAGAACACCCTGGAGCCCGAGGAGAGGGTGATCACCACCGCCATGTAGCAGGCACCCTGGCCGGCAGCCCTCCTTCCTCCTCTCACTTTGCTTCCCGCTCTCGTGATGGGGCATTTTCGCAGGGACCCTCTGCACCGGCATCCCCTGTGCGCGGCGGATCCCTGACCTCTCCACGGCACCGCCGCCTCCAGTTCTTTTCCCTTCCCACCTGGGGACGTGCTCTTCCGCCTCGGGGGCTGGTGTCCACGTGGGCATCAGTCGCCAGGAGAAGTCTTGAGGTGCCACCTCCACTGCCCGGCAGTCACCCCACCTGGTTGGCGAGGCTGACGTCCCCGGTCCCAGTGGGGTGCTGACCTGCTCCAGACATGGAGGGGTCCCCGCTGGGTGCCTGGGACCTCCCCGCACCCCCAGCCACCCTCCGGGGAGCTGCTGATGGAAAACCCACTCCCTTCTCCCCATTTCACCCTCCTTTTTATGACCTACACCATGCATTTTAATGTCAGAACAAACCTTCTCCCCTGTACATATCTTCCCCGTGAGCAATAAAGAGAATTGTTGCCCATCTGACAGCAAAGTGGTCATTTTGCTAATCACCCAAAGGACTTTCTGGCATCTCGCAGTGCTCCCAGCCTTCAGGCAGCTCCGGAAGGAAAGGACACTGGGGAAGGTGGTGGTGGGGGTGGGAAGGGTGCTTAGACACAGGTCAGCATACCCCTCCTGCGTAGGATCCATCTTTTATTTCCTCACTTGGATGAAGCCAAGAGTGCTTTTCTGTGTGTCTGTGTGTCAACAGGGGAGAGAAAAAGGTGGAGCATTTTGTTTGCTCAGCATTTGGACCACCCCAGAGCCGCGAAGGGCTGTACGGGGAGATGAGCATCATTCCCCTCTGTTTGCCAGGTGGGGAAACTGAGACACAGCACCAACACAGCACTTCCCAGCGCTGCATAACGGGTGAAAGGCAACGCTCCCTGAATCCCGCCGACCCACAGCCAGCTGGGGACCATTCCCAGGGCTGCAGGCTGCGAATGCCAATCAGTTACTGGTGTTGCCAGGATGTGGCCGGGGGCTGCTCCCGGGCAGTGCTGGCTCTCCCCGGGGCAGCCTCATGGTGCAACCCGCTCCTGCCAGTCTGCTCGTTAACCAGGGTCTATTTTTTGCTGTGGTGGGGACAGCACTGGGACCACTGTGGGAGCAATGAGTGCTCCCAAGCCACGGTGTTTGCAGATGGAGATGAGAGACCTGCAACGCCTTGGCCTTCCCTGGGACATCAGCTGCCCAAGCGGCATGCAGGGTCCTTCCTTTGAGCAGCGAGGAAAGGGTTAAGGAGCTCTGCAATCAAGGGCAGCCCAGGGCCTCCAGGTGGAGCAGGGCTGGGAGGGATGAGATGGGTGTTTATGAGAGGGGCATTTTTGGCAGCCCCTGGGTTTGGGGTAGTGGGGTGGTTTTGGGGCTCTGCTGTGCTTGGGGCTGTGCAAATGCAAGGGGGAGGAGGTGGCAGGAGGACGTTGGGTGCCCGAGTCACTTCTTGCTCTCCCTTTCTGCTGAGCATTGAGGCAAGGAGAACTGTTAGACCCGCTGTGAAATCGCAGCTGTGACGGGTTTGGGTCTGGGGGAGCCCTGACCTCAGCTCAGGAGGTGCTTTGGAGGCCCGTCTGCAGGCAGCGGTGCCAGAAGCAGGCAAGGCTGTATCAGGGCTGGAGGTACCTCTCTGCCTCTCACGAGCAGAGCTCCCGCTCTGTGCGTTTCGACCCCGAATGGGCTTTCCTGCTGCAAGGGCTGTTCCTTGCTCCTCTGCCTGTGACCTGAAAAGCCCTGAGCCTGTCCTGGAGGAGGTGCTGCCCAGCACAGCGCAGGCAGCCGGCTTCTTTCCCAGGCACGGGCTTGCAAAACTCTCTGTTTTCCTGCAGCACCGAAACCTGATGGGTATTCCCCAAAGTGAAGATGTGACAGTCCTGCTGGGGAGCTTAGCCCCAAACGGGCCACTTCCCACTGCTGGGAGCCCTCTGGGATGGAGCAGGGAGCTGGGGCTGGAGCCTGGTGCCACCACTTGCCACGAGCCACTCTCATTTCCCACAGGTGAAGCTGTCGATGTCCCTAACAGGTGGTGATGCAAAAATTCAGGCATGGAAGTAAAACAAGAGCCTTCCAGTAACAGACCTGCCCTGAAAGGCATCGCCCTGAAAAGCCTCACGTAGGCAAGGGTTTTGAAAATTTCTCAGGGCATTGAGAAATCGCAGGTTCAGTTGAGAAATTGCACGGGGGTAGAAGAAAACAGGCAGAAGGCTTGGAGGGGTCAAGCCCTCCGGTGCGGAGGCGTGACGGCTGCCGTCCCCAGCATCACGTCGGAACTGTTCCCTTCCACGACCTTCCCGTGGGCAGCTGGACGCTGAGCCAGCCCCAGGCTGTCCCCTGGACCTTCCCGCTGCTGGCCCTGATGGGTGCTGCTCTCTGGCTTTTCTCTCGCAGGTGCCGAACTTCACACGGGTTTGGAAGAAAACAAGCTCCCCGGAGCTGCGCGGTAATGCTTCGCTCAGCAGGGTTTAAGGAGGATTAGCCATTGCGTGTTCCTGCTGCGTCAGCAGTCGGGCTGGGGGCTGGGGGTGTGGCGAGAGGAGGGGAACCCGTTAATTTTTACCTCTCGGTTGCAAAAGGAGTTAGAAACGGCATCTTTATAATGAGTAACAGCGGGAGTTTATTCCCTGCCCCGTGCACGCCCTGAATACGTGACGAATGCCCGAGTTGTTCCCCCAGCAGCGCCTGGGTGCGGGTCTGCAGTGGAGGTGTGCTGGGGGCTTGGTGGGACCCTTTCCCCAAGGATTCCTCCCGCGGTCGTAGGTCCAGGCAAGCAGAGGGACGGGGCTTTACCACCTCACGTTTTGGGCTAGCCCAGGAACCTTGATGTTCGGTCTTATCCCAGCCAGCGCCCCTTCAGAGCTCACTTTCCTGGGGAAAACATCTTTTGTAAGAGCCACTGTGTTACCTCCCTGGTGGGACCTCACCTCCGCGCAGTCCGTGACGCCGTCCTGCCTCGGTTTCCCTTGTCTGTCAAGCACGGCCCAGGGCTGGCTGTGCGAAGCGGGCTGCCTCCCCGCGAGCCGTGCAGCCGGCTCATGGCTGCTTCTCGGTGTGATCCTAAAAAGAACAAAAGGGAGCGAGCATAAACGAAATTTATTGTTGGAAAATCTTAATTAGATTTTAAGCCCCAAAGGGAGAAAAATGAGGTATTATCTGACACAGCTAATGAGTGTTAAGGGTCCATTGTTATATTTCTTGTTTACCTTTCTGTGCTAGCTGATACGGCCCGGATCCTCGCCTGTACTGCCATAATTAGGATATCTCATCTCTCGCTGATAGGGTCGGGGATGCTCTTTATAGTACAACACTGTCGCATGCGTCCCCAGCATGATGAGCGTGATTGGGAAGGCAACTTCTGGCATCTCAGTGCTCTCACCCGCCGTGTTGACCCTGTGAGCTGGGGGATGCCCCCCAGAGCCGGGGCTCTGCCTGATAGTCCCCAGGTGATGGGCACCTCCAACAGCATCGGTGTCTTCTCTGAAGGGCCCTGGGCCAACTTGCCTGGGGGCCAAATCCTCCCCAACACCTCTCTCCATGCAGTATGGGGGGGTGACCGTGTCCTCCACATGTCATCCCACACCCACTGATGAAGGAGAAGGACACCCATGGGTACCCCATCCTAACCCTCACTCTGTTAATGCCAGTATCTCTGAAGCTTGGGCTTCAGGAAGGTGTTTAGGGTTGGGACCTACTGTGGACAGGATAGTCATCTTTTGGGCCAAAGATACTCAGGGTGGTCTTTTTGCATTACCACCTTGTTACAGGATGTATCACAGCTTTTCTCTGAGGCCTAGGAGGGTGAAACTCATCTCTTGGACCCTCAGATAACGGGGCATCTTGTTGAAAGCCACCTTTACTCTGATGCTTCCCCCAATCTCTCCTGAGGCTCTTTAGCTGTGGAGGTTTAAGATGTTTCTGTTCCAGCTGTGACCACAACCCTGGAGCAGCTTGGGCAGGTAGATGCCTACCCATAAAAATGATAAATTATATAACTTATATATAACAATATAAATTATTCCAAGGTGGTTTAATTAAAGACTTGTTGTATGCAGGTAAACCGCTGCTAGAAGGACCACCAGCTCCAACCCTGTCCCTGAGCAGCGTAGCCTGGGCTTTATGTCCTGACATTGGGCACCTTGATACCCAAGCGATGTGATTTGGACCTCCAGAAGCAAAAAGGGAGCCCGTCCCACCATTGCGGTCCTTTGGGCTGGGGAAGGAGCCCAGCCACCCAGGTGGGAGCCGGGAGGGCGGTGTGTAGGGGTGGCTGTGTGTGGGCAAGGGGGTTGCAAAGTTTTTGGTCTCGATTCAAGCCACTGAAAGCCAGAAGTAAAATACCATCCATTGTTGGTTTATACACCCGTAGTAGCCAAACAAACATCCCCGGAGCCTGTCCTTATCACTTTATTACACCTGCTAGAGTGAATAGATTAAAGAGGACGAGGGAGGGGGGAGAAAGCAGAAGAATCCAGCAGAAAAACTGGGTTTTGGGATTGTTAATTATTCTCTGGGGTCTCTAATCTTTAACTGGCAAACAGCATCACTAACTGTCTTAAAGCCCCTCCTGGAACATCCTGATAATAAGCCATCTGCATGAAGGCACCCCGTTATCTGCCCTCCTCCAGCCGCCTGTGACATGGCTGGAGTGGGAGATAATGAATGTGTGGTGTGTAATAACGACACGTCATTCATGATTATCGGCCTGATACCCAACCTTTTAGCTCCATTGTTTGTGCTTCAAAAAAGCAGAAAAAAAAAAAAAAGACAGAAAAAATGAAAAGGAGGAGGGAAAGAAGAAAAAGGCGAATTTTTGGTGCTACGGGCTGTCCCGAGGCCCCTGAAGTGTCTCCCTGCTAAAGGGGCTGGCTCTCGTAGCATCTCCCAGAGGGTTCAGTGGTACCCTGGAAGGACTCGCCCCTGGACTGGCGGCTGCTGTAGACATTGTGATGGAGGGACAGAGCCAAGATGGCACAGAAATGTCACCGCCTGGTACGGAGACATTTGGGGTAAACACGCGGGCGATTCGATCCATGTCAGTGGGTGCTGCCTGGCTCCTCGCGCTGCTTTCTGCTGCCCTGGAAGCCGTTTAGCGGTGGCTTGGCAGAGGAGGTTATCTTGAACATGCTGCTGTCCAGAAACTGCCAGCATTTGAAGGCGGGAGAGATGTTTGGGTTGCCTCGTTTGACCTGAACGAACTGAAAAGTGGGAGAATTTTCTCTTGGTTGCTGCTGCATTACGGCTCCATGATGCATTGGACATCTGAAGGCGGGAGAGATGTTTAGGTTGCCTCGTTTGACCTGAATGAACTGAAAAGTGGGAGAATTTTCTCTTGGCTGCTGCTGCATTACGGCTCCATGATGCATTGGTGCTGCGAGATCTTTCCCCCAAAGCTCTAATCCTTCGAACTGCAAACCTGGATTAAGGGTGATTCTTAACAGGGAGAGCCTTTAAAGTGTTTGGCTCAGGTTACCTCAATTATTGTCAGAACTGCCTGGATTAAGGATCTTTTTTTTTTTTTGCATTAAAAATGTCAGGAGTTTCTCCTCTCTTTCCCAAGCAGATTTCCCAGAGCAGTTTTCCTGGGGAAGGTCTCTGCTGGAAGTGGTTGGGGTTTGGCCGTTCCTGACAGTCAGGAGGACTCTCAGAAACCAAATGGGCAGCCTCATTCATGGCAATGGGTAGGGTGATGGCCTCAAAACACAGGGCTGGGAAGCCAAGCAGGGCACTGTACGGATGCAGGGATGGGCAGCAGCTGTGGGTCTTCATTGGATCTAACTTTTCCTGCTCTGGCCTTAATCCCTCCATGCCCAAACAGAAGGTGCCGTAGGACATCTTCAGGTGCCACCTAGTTTCCTTTGCAACCCGCCACCGAGGAGACTGGGCCGGGTATTTGTGGCCAAGCGCTCCCCAAGCTCGTAGCTTGGACCGCAAGCCCGAGCGTGGATGAGCAGAGCTGCAAGGCGGCTCACTGGCTCCTGGCTGGGTGGGCGGCCGAAACGCCTGACAAATAGGGCCAGTTAATGAAAAGCTGCATCAAGCTGCTGCCCTCCGACAGCCTCGCTGTGCGGGAGGTGGGGAGGAGGAGAGCTGCAGTCTGACCCTTGAGACCAGCCTGAGTCCACCCTCCACGTGCGAGGGTGGTGGCAGCAGCACCCACGCAGCTGCACCTGGGGTGAGAAGGGGAGGGAGCGGGGAGAAGAGGAGCTCTGACTCCATCTGCCCGGCAAAATAAATACAGGCTGCACCTTGCTGGTTATTCACCGCACCCCCGGCCCGTTAGGTACCAAGACAGCCAAAACGAAGGCTCAGATCCTGCCCTGGAGAGTTCTGTTTCTCAAACTGGGGATGCAGCGGGCGGCAGAGCGGGGGGTCAGGGGGGTGCAGGGGTTTATGCAGATGTGAAGATGCTCAGATTTGCCTGTCCTGGTCTGGCTACAAGCAGAGCTGACCTGCTCAGACAGACAGACATGATTTGGTTATGTTTGCACCTACACTGATGCTATCGCCATAGGCGAGAGCTGGACAAACAGCCTTGGCTCTCAGCATGGTGTGGCACTTGTGCAGCCCTCCGTGCCTCAGTTTCCCCTGATGTCTGCTGGCCGGCCGGGCACTCGCAGTGACAAGCTTTCCCTGTGCCATGGGTAACAGCACCATCGTGCTGGGGACCGTGGTGGAGCACTGCCGGCTCTGCTGCCCCGCAGGGCTGAGCGCGGGGACGGGGATGCCCCTAGGGACGGGGCCCACCAGCCGCCCTGCTGGGCCTGGCCATGCTCCCTGCAAGCCCAGGGAGGTTTGCCAGGGACCGAGGAGGACTTTGGTTTTTCCTGGGTCTCCCACTGCCACCTAGTGATCTATTGAGCACCCCAGACCTGCAGACGGTCCCCCTTGGCCTGGGAGCTCACCTAGGGCTGGTGCTGGGGGGGAGGCCCTGCAGTGGGTCCCTGCACCCCCAAAACGAGCCTGGCCCCAGGACCAGAACCCACCTGCAGCCTTTGGGCAGCTCACTTATGTACTGAGCAGTCAGTTCTCAGCCTCTGCAGAGAAGGGCTTAAGACAGACTTGTGCTCCCTCTTGGGACTTTTTTTTTTCTTTTTGCAAACTGATTTTGGTTTTGCCGCCAGCATTTGACAGGGGTGTGTGTGATGATTTCTGTTTTGCTTTGTTTGACCCCAGATCATTTCAGCTCCTTACCATGGAAACTCCCAGAGGCAGTGAGGTGAGGACTTGGTGACCCATGGTATGGGAGGAGTGGAAACAGGTTCCTCAGGTTCACCGGGAGCAAACCCGTTGAAACAACCCTTGTGGCTTGAGAAACACTGGCAGGGCTGCACCCTTGGGCACAGCCTTGCCCTTGGGTTTCCGGGACTCATCCTGTACCCGCCTTGGCCCGCAAGTGCAAAGGAAGCCAAAGCCACTCTTGGGGAGCACCTCCACGAGGTGTTGCTCTCGTTTTAGAGGGAAGAGGAGGACAAGGCTGACCGCATGTCATGCTGAGGGCAGTGAGTGCTTTCTGCAGGTTAGCTGGTCTCTGCACTGGCTCCTGAGCACCCTCAGCTCAAGGAAGTTCAGCGTCAGGGCAGAAAAACCCGTTGGCTTTCATCTGCCTAACAGTGGCCACAGCGCCGGGCCCAGGATGGATTAGGGGGAATGATTTGGAGGGTGGTGCGTGGGGATGCACAGTGGCTGCAGGGAGGACCTCTCCAGCCCCGGCACACCCAGGTTGGAGACAGAGGAGGGACATCGTTCTCTGGCAGTGTCCAGGCTTTAGATATCCGTGCAAACCACGCTGGCATCGTTCACCGCCGTGCCCGAGCAGGGAACTGGAGATGGTGCAAATGCCGAGGCAGGGGAGAGAAGTCCTGCCAGGCAGCGTGCGAGGGCAGGTTGGAGGTGAGGACATGAGCAGGACGTGGAGGATGCCTGGGGAAGTGAAAGCTGAGCCACAGCCATGCTGTGAAACCCCCTTAGCAGAGCCGTTCCCATGCAAGGGCGGGTCCTGGAACTGCTGGGTTTGGTGTGTGTGCGAGGGGGCTCAGCGTGCCCCCCCAGATGGCAGCAGGGAGGGAGGTTAATGTGAGAGGTCCGAGATGGCCAGGTCTGCTTGGTGTCCCCGTCTTAAACTTCTGGGTGCAGGGTGGTCCTTGGGAAAGCACTTGCCCCCTGCTGTGGTACCCCACCAGGTCAGTGAATCTTCTTCAGATGCAGGTGGATCCCGTTTCTGGACCTGAGGGTGATCTGTGGCATCAGCACGGGAGGCTTGGACGGGTCAGGGGAGAGTTTGAAGCGGAGCAGGGTCAGGGCCAAATCCACCTTCATCTCATTCATGGCGAACTGCTGCCTGATGCAGTTCCTGCGGAGAGGATGACAAAGGCTTCATTGAGGATGATTGCAGCCTTCATCCCCGACTGCCCCCAAGCTGGGCTCAGCCCATGAGTGAGCTGGGGGACCTCCAGCTGCTGTGAGGATGATGCCACAGCTTATCTAGGAATCTTCTGATGCCACAGCAAAATGCACCCAACCTCTGTGGTGGGGTATTGCTGGTTTTTATTAATAAGCATTGAAAAAAGATATGAGATTGAGAGAACTGGGGCTTACTTCACTAAAAAGTGCTGCATGGATCCAGCTAAAAACCCAGACACCTCAAAAAGGTTATTTTTGGCTCTGTGTGGAGTATCTCGTCTTGCAAGTTACTGAGACCTCAGTACCCTTCATCTGTCTATTGATACAGCATAGGAACCACAGAGACTGGGATCCAGCTTGGCTTTGATGTGCACTGGATATTCGCCCCTAAACAAGGCAGCCTGCGTTCCCAACACAGGCAACAGAAAATGCAAACTTCTCCACAAATCCACAAGAAAATTGTGTGAAACCCTACAGTGACCACAGAGCTTGGCGTGCGGGAAATGCTCTGGAGCTGATGGAGTTATGGTGGGGATCCTGGTACGGAAAGCCTGTTTGAGTTGGCCAAGTCAACTTGGTTTATGGGCACGGAGGGGGGATCAGCCTCAGGAGCTCGGCTCTGAGCTAGGTTTCCCATGCAAGGCAGCCTACAGGGAAGGAGAGGGAGGAAGGATCTCCCACCTGGATCCAGCAGAGAAAGGCAGGAAAGCATGGGAGTGCCTCTGTGCTGAGTTCTCTGGAGAAAAGCTCAGGGGATCATACATCTGTGAGAGCAACAAAGGCTGTTTAGTCAGTGTTGGCTCTGATATGAGCAGCACCAGATTCTTCCTCGGTCCCCAAGGTAGGGCTGGATGTGGCCCCTGCTGCCCCAGAGGAGCTGCAGCTGACATTTGTCCCTCTGCAAAGCCAACCAGGTAAATGAGAAGAGGGCACTGGTGGCCATGTGGATATTCCCCTTGGAGAGATCCAGATCATCCACTACAGCACCCAGGATGCCTGCAAGCATTTACTCATCCATAGCAGCAATGATCAAGTCAGACTCCCTCCTGCCCAGAGATGCCTGATCCTGCGTCTCCAGAGAGGCACTGGAGAGCAGCAGCTGTGGACCCTCCTTCAAATTTCCCAGATAATTCTTTCCTTGCAGCCTCTACGACATCAGCTTCGGATCACACACTGCCTGGAGGGCTTGGGACTTCTCATGCCACACCGAGACGTAAGTCTATCCGGGGCAGATGAAAGCAACCTGAGTATCTCTGTGTCACCATGCATGAAGACAGACTATTCAGCACCCTTTCCCAGCACTTTGTCACGTTCAAAGCCTTTGAGTTTTTTGGTAACTTCATTGCATTCAGATATGGACTGTTGGAATAAGAGGGGGGAAAAAAACCCCAAACATGGCAGGGAGGCACAGGCTGCCTTGTTCAAGGGGGTGAATGTTTGGGCTCAGAGATCATCTGCCCCTTCTTGTTTATAACAAAGGCAAAATACCTCAGGGTCCTCCCACACATCCTGGTTCCTGTGAATAGCAAATATGTTCAGTCCAACCTGGCAGCCTGGAAAAGAAAAATGAGAAAAGGCTCGTGACACCTCAGAGTGAAGACCCAGGAGAGGTGTTTGTGGGATGCTCTACCTCCCTGGGCTCTGCAGGGGCTGTTGCAGGAGATCTGGCAGGGATGATGCCCAGCCTGTCCAAGCAGATCACCTCCTGAAACTCTCACATGGAAGAAACAGTGTCCTCAGAGAGGGGCCCCATTTTGGTACCAGTGGATGAGCTTTTACTCTTGGCCAGGATCAACACGCTGCAAGTCCCCTTTGAGCTCTGTGAACACCCCAGTGTCCTGGAGCATGTCCTTGGACTCTTTCTAGCCACCCTTCTGGGAGAGCTGTGATGCTGAGCTGTGGTGGCCCTGTACAGCCCTTTGACGAGAGACGAGAGGCTGGAAGACCCACCAGCCCCTCCACACAGCAGCTCTAGTGAGGATGCCCCACTTGTCACAGACAGCAGCACGAAGGATGAACAAACTCAACAGACCTGCTGGCAAGCTGCATCCATCAGAAAATGTGACACGTTTAGAGATGTATTGGGACACGGAAGGAATTGGTGTGAACAGGCACAAGCTCTCTTTGATGCACATTGTGGTGTAAGTCATCTTCCCAAGGTCCTCCCTGAAAGCAGACTGGGGGGTCAGGCTGTATTTGAGTGGCAGCAATGAGGACACCAGCAATGGGGACTGGGTGGGCTGGACTACAGGGTCTCCTGTTGGGTTTTCTCCTTCTCCCAGTCCTTCCTTTGCTGCCAGCATTGCTACATGAAAAGCAGAATTCCCCAGTGCAGAGGCAGTAAAAGGTGGATGAAATTTCCTTCTCAGGATGAGTGAAAAGAGTTCAGAGTAAAGGAATAAAAAGTCCTAGCTCACCACTCAATGGTATCTTGGTCCCCCAGGATCCCCTGGGTCTCCTCCCAGCACCGTTGCTGGTACTCTGGATATAACGACAGGCAGTACAAGAGCCAGGAGAACCCACTGGCTGTGGTATCATGACCCACAAACATGAATGTGTCCACCTCGGAACGCAGGTCCTCATCAGATAGCCCAACTCCATTTGCATCCTGATGGAAGGGACAGTATATCATTCTCCAGCGCACATTAATTGGACTTGCTCCTCTGGGCATAAAAATAACCCCAGATGCTAATGAAGAAGGGCCCATTTTGGTGTCTCTTCTATCTCCGGGTATGTCAGCAAGTAAGCCAGTAGAAAATATATCCAATACATGTGAGAACAGTCAGACCCGCTGACTGCTGACTCTGCAGTCAACAGAGCTACAGCGTGGGGCTTTGGTGGGATACCAGGTCCCAGTCCTTCAGCAG